CACACACACAAACACACACATACACTCACATACACAAGTATATATACACAAACACACATATACATATATAAACACACATACACACACAAACACATGCATACACAGATGTACACACATGTACACACACAAACACACATGCACACACATATATACACACATGTACACACACACTTCTTTCTCCCTAACTGTCCTCATAGGTCACTGCTTAAATGCTTCAGACACCTCTTTCCTAAGAAAAGGAACATTTTCTTACACAGTCCCGTCAAAACTATTTAGAAAGCCAGGATAATTTTTAAAGCTCTGTAGCCCAAACGTATCTCCAACGGCAAGTCAACCTCCTGCCTCTGCCTCCCACATGCTGGGATTACAGGTACGAGCCAGCACATCTGGCTTCTGGTGTTTAGCATAGAAAGCCCAGTATGTAATCTTTGGCCCGCCATTTCTGTAAATTAGTTGTGCTTCTTTATTACATCCAAGCATGAATTTTTACTAGTTTTGTTTAGTGACTCTGAGAGGCCTTTAAGGACTCTGTCCCCACCCTCCTGGTGGTCCTCCTATTCTCAGAAGTATAAATTACACTAGTTCCCCCTTCCCCCACCCCCACTGAGTTGGAATGACCTCTTGCATTGTGAATTTTGACCATGCTTCCATCTGTTGTTTGTTTGTTTATGCTGCTAGGGACTGAACTGACTCCTGAGGCAAACACTGCAATGCTGAGAGCTACGTCCAAGCTCTTGGCTCTTGCAGTACTGGGAATGGAGCCCTGGGCCTTGTGCATACACACTAGACAAATGCCCTACCATGAGCTACAGCCCCAGCCCCTCTTCTATCTAAAAAAAATTATAAAGTTCTAGGTTTTTATTTTTAAATTAGTATTGGATGAAAAGAAGAAAAAGGAAAGGATAGATTACTCCTAGGTATGGTGGAAGAGAAAGTTTATTTTATAGGTATGTGGGAAAGCACAGTCAGAGGCAGAGACATCTATCTGGCAGAGTCCAGAGTGGAGCGGTACCACGTGAGGAGAGGGAGGAGGAAAAGGGTGGGGGGGAAACCAGGTGCAGCAACCAGGAGGCCCAAAGCTATAAAGAGAGCGGGTAACAGAAATGGTTGGATTATATAGGGAAGAGCAGCTGAAGGAAGGACAGCCCAGCCCCTGGGCTGGAGAGTTCAGGGTAAAGGGTGGGGTATACCAGCTTGGAGGGCCCTGTAACTGGTAGAAACTGAGGGAAGTAAGGAGAACCTGTTGGCCAGTGTCTGCTTTGATATGTTAAATAGGCACCTCAGCCATTTGTCTCAGGATTGAAACCTAACAAGTGTGTCACTAAGTTGTCTAGACTGAACTAGAACTCATCCTGTAGCTCAGGCAGGCCTTGAGCATGCAATCCTCCTGCCTCAGCTTCCCAAGTAGCTGGAATGCTAGCCTGCATTACCAAGCCTGGCTTTCTGACCCTTTTCTGATGCTCAGTTACTAGAAACAGATGCTGAGTCAGACAGAATGAGCTTTTAATAATGGCACTGTTAAAGTACCATCTAGGCACGTGGTACCCATGGCCAGGGCTTTGCAACTCGGTCTCATTCTCCTTTTAGGGGCTGGCAGTCTGTGGAAGGAAGGAGAGACAGAGCTGAGGTCCCCAGACTGCCTGCAGCCAGATGGCCTGCTGGCAGCCAGCACATGGGAGCTGGATGGGAGACAGTGGACACTGATCTTTTATTTATCCTCTGGCTTTCATGGTTCTCATATGGAGCAGGCTACAGCAGAACTCAGAAATAAAAAGGATCTTTTATACTTAATAAAAAGGGGCAGGGAATGGAGGGCTTTGTTGCCTGGGTTAATACTGATCCTTTTCTGAGTAGAGAGACTGTCTCCCCTCTCCTTGGCTAAGGTTCACTCTTGATAATTTTTCCAAAATTATCTGCTACAAAACATTCCACATTGTATCTTTCAATACCACAGAGTTATTTAATCTACGGTGGTTGGGAGCAACCGCTATTTATTGATTCTTGAGTGAGAAATTCTATGGAAACCAGTTCAAATGGCTCTGGTCGTATAGAGTTCATGTAATTTACACACACGACCTCATCAGATTCTCACTACAGTTCCTTCTGAAAGAGAAACCGAAGCAAAAGCAGCTAGTGCCAGGTTGGTGGTTCCCAGGTCGGCTGGAACATGGTGGGAGGAGTCCAGGTACGCCTCCTGAGCAGCTGCTCTTTCTGTCGGACCTTACTTGTCTCTTGTGATAGGAATCAGCAAGTACCGAGAGTCACCAACCGATGCTGCTACAGGAGAGGAGGAAGCAATGGGACTCCAAGCACAAACAAATAGTCCTGTTTAACTTGCTCCAGCAGGCCCATTGTCTGATTTCATTGTAGGCAGGAACCGCTACTGATGCCCTCAAAGCCTTTGGTAAAGCTCCTCACGTCTGTCTGTCTGTCTCCCACACCTCAGTGATCACTTCCTCCTCCACCCGGGAGTACACAGTGACTGGGCCTGATCAGGACGGTGCTGCACCCTCACGCACCCACGTTTACCAGTGGCGTCAGACCATCACCTTCCAGGAGTGTGCCCATGATGACTCCAGGCCATCACTGCCCAGCACCCAGCAGCTCTCTGTGGACAGTGTGTTTGTCCTGTACAACAAGGAGGAGAGGATCTTACGCTACGCCCTCAGCAACTCCATTGGGCCTGTGAGGGGTAAGGAGGAAGGGGCTCACGCAGGCTGACAATGACTGTGCACGTGTCTCTGTGCTCTCAGCACTCAGACCTGTCGATCTCTGCTTCTTGGATTTCGGATTTTAGTCTCTTATTCTCTGTCTATAGAAGAAAATGATGGTCAGACATCCTGTGAAAGAGAAAAAAAAATGCACGGTCATCAGTGGCTCTTGGCAAACAGACCTGCTTTTGTTCATTCAACCAAAGGCCTATTCATAGGGTTGTCTGGGCTATTTATTCATGAGCTATTAGGGCAGAATGCTATCCTGATGAGTTCCCTCACAGAACAAACCAGCCAAAAGCTACTGATGGCTCTAGTGAACATTAAAAAAAAAAAAACCCTCTATTTAAAATTTAAAACTAAAAAAAATTATTTTTAAAGGACCACATTAGTTCATAGTGTGAGATATGAGCTAACTTATTTCAACATATCCAATGAGCAGTGATCACATGAGAGAAACAGGCATATCCATCTCCAAATGTATCATTTCTCCAGATTGAGAACATTCAAAATCGCTATTAGCTATTTTGGCATGTGTAGTTAATTGTTGTCATCTTTAGTTACCCCACCGCTCCACAAAACATTAGACCTTACCCATCCAGCGGCACCCTTGGCCTGTTAACCATCCTTTCCCCACCCCTCCATCCTTCCCCACCTCAGGTAGTCATTATCTTGCTCTTTCCGTGAAATCAACATTTTCAGCACTCACATGTAAGACTGGGCAACATTTGTCTTTCTATGTCAGACTTATTTCATTCAACACAATGATTTCAAGGCTCTTTCATTTAGTCAGAATCAAAGGATGCTGTTTTTTTTCATGGCTAAATAGTATTCTACAGCATAGCTATTTAGTTGTTTTTCTGTTTCTGTGATAAAATACCAGGACCAGAATCAACTTATGAAAGAAAGAGATAATTTTACCTTAGGGTTCCAGAGAAGTCATCCAAAATGATGGGGGAGGTGTGACAGCAGGCAGCTGTAACAGGAAGCTGAGAAAATGTCTTCAGCTACAAACACGAAGAAGAAAGGGTGAACTGGTAGTTGGGCCAGGGTGTAAACTCAAGGTTTTTCACTGGTAACTTACTTCCTCCAGCAAGCCACCTCCCAAAGACTCCACAACCTCCTTAAACAGCACTACTGACTGGTGACCAATTATTCAAATACATGAGCCTATGAGGACATTTCCCATTTAATATATCTCTGTTAGAAGGGTAGAGCTGGATGGTCCCATGGTAGTCCAACATAGAAGGCTCTGGCCCCCATTACTCTGCTCTTTTGCAGTAGTGGCTTACTTCCTGAGGTAGGAGGGCTTCTGGAAGGTTCTTAAACACTGTGTTTACCTTCACAGATGGCTCCCCTGATGCCCTTCAGAATCCATGCTACATCGGCACCCATGGGTGTGACAGCAATGCAGCCTGTCGCCCTGGCCGTGGAACACAGTTCACCTGCGAATGTTCCGTTGGCTTCCGAGGAGACGGGCAGACTTGCTATGGTACTGCTTTGGGATCTTATGTGTGGGGTGCTGGGATACCAGGCTGGAAGGAAGCCTCCAGGTTCTGTAAACCAGGAAGCTGGGTGTATGTAGCAAGAATGAATGTGCTGACTGTGTGACATGCAAACATACCATGAAAGGCATACCTGCAATGTGTATGCTTTATGTATACCCACTTGCTGTCTCCTTGGTAACATCAGGGGATTCTGCCTCTTTTATTATCAGCCCTGACCTATTTCTCAGCAACAGAACAAAGTTCCTTGTTTGGTTTTATTTTTGCTTTAAGACAGGGTCTCCTTTAAGAATCCCAGGATGGCCAGGTGGTGGTGGCACACTCCTTTAATCCCAGCACTTGAGAGGCAGAGGCAGGTGGATTTCTGAGTTTGAGGCCAGCCTGATCTACAGAGTGAGTTCTAGGACAGCCAGGGCTACACAGAGAAACCTTGTCTTGAAAAACCAAAAAACAAACAAACAAACAAACAAAAAATCCCAGGCTGGCCTCAAACTGAAGACCTCCCAGCCTCTGTCTACCAGGTGGTGGGATTAGAGGTATATATTGCCTGGCTGTTTTCAACTATTTTTAAGTGTGCAGTTCAGTGCTATTCAACACACTCACACTGTTGTGAAGTTGTCACAATTATCCTTTGCTGGGACCCTTCTCATCTTGTACAACCTACTCTGTTCATTAGACCACAACTCCCAATACACTGTGACACATCCTTATCCCCAGCTCCTGTCTCTCACCATTCGATGTGTCCCACCATTCTAGAACCTTACGTATGTGGGATCCACAGCATTTATGCCTTGTCTCTGGCTTATCTTACTCAAGATCCAAGATTGTGTGTGCAAGTCTCACTCAAGATTCATCCATTTGATGGCATGTGTAAGAGTGTATTTTTTTTCTTTGAAGGTTGAATATTATTCCATTGTATCATGTATTTCATGATAATTTTTTTCCTTATCTATCCATTCAGATGAAGGGAGCACCTTTCCTTCAAAAGGCACAGCCAGCTGTGCTCCATAGAACTTGCGGGTAGTCCCTTGTGAGTGGGCATATTGCACCTACCTTTTGACTATGGTAGACAAGGGTGTCATGAACATGGCTTCTGTTGAAGGTACTGCCTTCAGGTTTTATTTGTTGTTGTTTTACTTTGTTTGCAAAAATCCCCAAAGCAATTCTACGGATCATTCTGTGCTTTGTTTTTGGAGGACCCTTCATGCTGTTTTCCATATCAGCTACACCACATTACTGTCTACCCGCAGTGTATAGGAGTTCTATGTTCTCCATTTTTTTTTTTATAAACACACACATAGGGGTTACTGCATGCATATAGAAGCCAGAGGGCATCTTGGATGTTGTTAGGAATTCTGCCTACTTCTTTTGAAACAGAGTTTCTTATCGGTTTGGAGCTCCTGTCTCTGCATCTCTGATGCTGGGGTGACTGCAAGCATGTGCATCAATGCCCTGCTTTCTGTGTGGGTTCTACGGGTGACACACTTATGTCCTTGTGCCTGCACAGTGAAGGCTTTGCTGACTTCTTTAGCTCCCAAGCACCAATGTCTCTGTAACTTGGTCAACACTTTCTGTCAGTATTGCTTTTTCTTTCGTAGAAACGGAGGTGTATTAATCTTAGGCAGACATCGAAGTGAGCCAGTGAGTAGTAACTCAGGTCTCTCACTGGAGCATCTGGAGCCCTGCCTCCTAGTAGCATGTATTTTATAATTTAAGATTTAACTTCAAAGACTTTTATGTAGACAGCCTGATATTTGTTGGTAACTGAATTTTCAATCTCTTACCAAAAGAAAGTTTGTCCTTGCTAAGGCCAAGAGTGTCCCGTACTTTACCCAGTGCCACTTAAACCTGCACTGAAGCCCTCTCTAATGAGGAGAAATGCTAGATGTCGTTTTCTCTGTCTAGAGGAGTGTGCTCACACGTATCTACCCAGCAAAACGGGCTGCTGTCCTCATCCCTGTGTGTCTAAGGAATAAGCCCTGGCAAGCCCAACACGTTTAGGATTTGGGAATCATGCTGGATCAGATCTAGAATCCCATCTCACTAGCAAGAGGCAGGTCTGGTATATAGATCCTGATGTAGGGCATGGGGTGGGGGAGGTTGCTTTGGAGCAACCCTTCCCTACAGGACACTTGCTCATGGTGCCCTGAGACACTCGGCAAGCTGAGGTTTGTGCTTACAGATATGGGTGATGTGATCGTTTGGGTGTCTGGCTGATGACATTGTGTATCTGGTACTCATAGCCCATGGTGACAGAAGAACTGACTTGCTTGTGATTGTCAGTGTCCTTGTCATGAATGACTACATTGGTTCAGGACAGTTTCAAGCAGCATGGTGATACTTTATGCTATTTTATATGCATGAAGCCCTGTCATGAAGGTGCTAGTTGGGGGGACCACGTTGGATATGAGGGATTCCTTTAGGTCTCCATACCGTCTCAGTCTGTGTATAATGTCATCAGCCACCTACATATTGATGGAGCATGGTTTATGAGTTGCTTTTCTTGTTGCTGGGACAAAATATCTGATAAAATAACTTGAGGAGGGAAAGGTTTTATTTTTGGCTTACAGTTTGAAGTTACGATCTATCATGGCAGGGAAGGCACGGCTGCAGGAACTTAAAGCCACTGGTCACACTGGTGTCAATAGACAGACAGAGATGAATACTGCTCCTTATTGAGCTTTCTCCTTTTATTCAGTCCAGGACCCCAGCTCGTGGGATGGTACTGTATTTGGTTAGTACAAGTCTTCCCATCTCAGTTAACCTAATCTAAAAAAATCCCTCACAGCCATGCCCAGAGGCTCTTCTCCTAGGTAATGCTAGGTCCGGTCTAGATGACCATCAGTGTCATCAATATTACCGTCACCTGTGGAGATGTGTCTGCTGTTGCTTATTGTGACCTTCTCAAGCAGCTCTTGGTCCCAGGGAGCTCCTTTTAAGACACACAGAGATGCACCCCTTCCCCACTGTGAGTTTGTGCACTCTGCCACTGTCCTTGGAAATCCTTGGCCAGCCTTGTTCAGGAACTCGGGTAACCATGCATACACTTGCTTTTTTCCGTGGTCAGTCATTGTCCTGGAATATTAGCCTGGTAGAATGTGGGAATGTCCTGAGTCAGGCTCCTTGTTGTTCTGAATTTCCAGAACAAGCCTTGGTGTTAATGCATCTGGACATGAGGCTTTTGTCAGGAAACCACATTAAGCCTCTGGATTTACGTGTTGTTTTAACCCAGGTAGATTCCTGAGAGGGGAACTAGGGTGAGCCTCTGTGATTCAAGTCCATGGTGGGATAGATGACCCATGCATGACATGTGAAGCGAGGTTGGCTTTAGCTGTCTCCTGGTGAGTTTCCTGTGTAATCTGGAAGAGATTTTTGGGGGAGAATCTCAGAGCTCAGTAATTCACCTGGAGTTCACATCACAATGGCATCCACATATCCCTCAAATTGTAATCCAGAGTAGCAGCATCAGCTAATACCTCAGGGAATATTTCTAGAAAGCATTCCACATGTCAATAACCTCCACAAAGGACAAGGCCTTTAGAAAAGAAATAACTCGTAGAGACTTAGTCATTGAAAATGTACCAAGACTAGTCACTGTGGGGAAAAACAATCAAAGGATTAACCTAGGACTGGTGAGTCTCATAGTCCAAGTTCAAATCCTAGCACCCATGTCAAAAGCTGGAAGTAGAAGCATGTGCCTGTCCTCCCAACACTCCTCCAGGGAGATGGGAGGCAGACAGAAGAACCATAGGAAGCTCACGGGCAAGCTAAGCCAGAGTACATGGTACAGCAAAACCAACAGAGAGACCCTGCCTCAGGTGACTCCGTAAAGTTGTCCTCTGACCTCCACGTGCATGCGGTGGCATGTGTGCCCTCTCACTTACACACACATCCCATACAACAACAATAACAACAATTTAAAAAGTAATTCCAAACAGTGTGTGGAACAAATCTGTGATCCCAGCACCCAGTAGTGGAAGCAAAAAGGATTGTGAGTTTGAGGACAGCCTGGGCTACATGAAGATACCTGGTTTAAATAAATAAATAAATAAATAAATAAATAAATAAATAAATAAAAATAATCCACAGTTTTCCTATTCAGCTAAGAAGATGTTCTCCTCTTTTCAGAAAGGATGTTGACCAGATGTTGAAAAAATCCTCTTCAAGCAGATGTTATGGAGTGCTATGAACAGACGGTTGCCATAGTTACCAGGCTACACTGTCCATCAACAAAGGGTTAAGGACTCAGTTAACAGAAAAGATTTAAATCACACATGAACAATTTGCAAACCATAAAGACCATGAGATCTTAGTGGGGGACACTGGGAGGGTCTTGTCCCTATAGAAACAGTGGTGTCCAGCCTGGCTTATCCTTACAGACCTGACAGTGTGGGAGCAGTCCTCCGGGACCCCACTACACCAAGGTCCTGTTGGCCTGCTGTAGCCTCTGCAGTTCTTGCATAACACATCTTCCGTCTCTGTAACTGTTCCCAGCAAGGCAGGGGCTTGGACAAGTTCCCTTCAGGACTTGGCCTGGCTTTTAGATGGAAAGCTGATGTTCTGTTCTGGTGCTCTGTTTGGTCTGAGCCTTCAGACTGTAGCCCAGCACAGGGGTCCAGCCACCTGCCGTGAGTGTTCTGGGAGCAGGTGGGAGGCATGAAAGATTGGGCTCTCTGCGTGGGAGCAGCAGCTGGCAGATAGGGGCAGAACCCCATCCTCATTCCCAACTCCAGCCCGTGCTGTCTCAGCCCGTGCTGTTCTCTCCCTCCCCAGGCATTCCTAACAAAGTCCACTGTCCAAGATCCTAAATATTGAACTGAACACACACACACACACACACACACACACACACACAAACACAATAAGTAAGTAATTAAAGAGTTATCAATCAACTATAAGTTGTCCAGCCTTTCTCTATAATCATAACTGTAGAAAGGTAGTTTATTTTAAAGATGTACTTACTTTTTACTCTGGGAACCAAACCTGGATCCTCTGCAAGAGCAGACTTCTGCTCTTTTCAGATGTGTTTTTGCCATTCCAGTGTGTGTAGCTTGTTTTAATGTGCGTCCCCTTGGTCATTCATTCAGAAGGAAGCACACATACATCACTTAGAAAAAACAAACTGAGGGTTGAACCCTAAGTTATGTAAAGGGCAAAACCCAGAATCTATTCTATATTACTTTGGGTATGTAGAAAAATGTGTCTTCAAATGGATCTCTTCTCTGAGGAAAATGCTTTCTGCTTAACTATGTTATGTGAGGTTTGAAAAATCTGTCTTTTTTTTTTTTTAATTAACAATTTGCTGCAGATATTGACGAATGTTCAGAGCAGCCTTCCCGCTGTGGGAATTATGCAATCTGCAACAATCACCCAGGAACCTTCCGTTGTGAGTGCGTGGAGGGCTACCACTTCTCAGACAGGGGAATATGTGTGGGTAAGTTCTGCAAGAAATTTTCCTGGGGAGACTATCTCTATGGGAAAGGCCTGGTTAGAGATTTTGAAGCTGGTGGAGAAACAGATACCAGTTCCTGTGGTCAGAGAGGGGCTGGTTACAAGGGGGAGGAGGAGAAGCTCTGCCCTCTACTTCCTTAGATGGTCACAGCTGCCAGGAGCAGGAACATTCTTGTGATATATATACTACCACATGCTAGCTGTACATCATCTTACCCGCTGTAAGCTTTCTGTGGCACTTGCTTATACATTTGCTTGGCTCGTTTTCAGCATACATTGAATGGCAATGGGAGCTGCGAGGCTTCATGCTCTGTGTCATTAGGAGCCATGGAATTCATGGTGAAGGGCCATCTTCAAGTACCTTTATGCTCTTAGCTGCCTTAGATTGAATTCTACCTGAGTTACCTCAGAAAGGAAATCCCACCTGGCAGCATTCCATTTATAATCTTAATTTTACAAACCACAAGCTGGAGCATAGCTTTTAAGACTTACTGAAGTTCATTGATTTGTGTTAATTTTTTACACCAGTTATGTTCTCCATTGATGTTGATAAGGACGATACTGGGCTAGTTAAGAAGAACAAAGCTTTTGAAATGTCACCCATCCCATCCTGCCCACATAACGCTGGCATATTATTTCGATGGCATTTTTTATTTTCGAGACAGGGTCTCATGTATCACACACAGGCTGGCCTCAAACTCACTGTGTAGTCAAGAGTGACCTTGACCTTACCTCCCCACCTCGACCCTCCAGAACACTGGCATCACAGGCGTGCGTTACCATGCCCAGTTTATTCAGGACTGAGGATGGAACCCATGGTCTCACACACACACTCAGCGAGCACTCTCCCTGTTCTATATCCCCAGCCCAAGTTCCAAGAACTGCAGCTCAAAGATTCTTGGAGATTGCCAGATCTCCAGGCTAACACGCTGAACAGGGCATGCATGTCAGCATGAGTCAAAACAGAAACTAACTGTGCCCGTCATTGTCATTGTCCTGTCCCTGTGTGCTCCCTGGCTGTTTACTGTGTAGTACACATGTGTTCCCTTTACTCTATCACAGAGCTTGGATGAGAAGCTAAGGTCTGGATGAGGTGGTGTCTGTAGGGCGGGAGGGAACAGGCAGTTCTCATGATTTGAGTGGGACCCAAACATCTGTGCACCCAGGAGGCCAGCCCTTTTGGTTGCACAGGGCTGAGATTTTAGCTTGCTGTGTTGAAACTATTTTTTTTTTCTGTCCTAGCAGAGAGCATCAGTTTTCTTGGCCTGACTTATCCCTATGAGTTTTGTTCTGGGGGAGGTTCTAAAGTTTTCTTTTAGTGTAATACCATTGTCATCCCTCATTGGGTCAGTGTGGGTGGTGGACTGTGAAGAGTTAGATCTCGTTGAGATCTAACCTGGGGTCTATGTGAAAGAGGCAGGTTGGCATGGGTCTGCCCATTCCCTAAGGCCTCACTCACTAGAGATTGGGGGAGGGGGTGAGAGGAGGGGGACAGGGAGCAGGGGGCAGGGGGCAGGAGGGGATATCTATAGATCAAATTCTGCATAAGCTGCTTGAATAATGGATTCCATTGCTCAAAAAGAAGCCAGGCCTGCAACCCCAGGCCTGTCATTTCAGCTACTTGGGAGGCTCAGGTGGGGTTGGTTGGTGATCACAGTTCAAGGTTTCCTTGGCCTACAGAGTAAATTCTAGGCTAGCTTGGGCTGGAGATGAAGCTCATTGGTAGAACGCTTCAGGAGCGTGAAACTCTAGGCTCAATGGTATGGAAGGTGACTATATGGAATGGTATGGTCTGGACCTTGGCAGCATCCAGACATAGTTCCCTTCTCAGAGTACCACTGAGCCAAATCACTGGTATGTAGAGAGCTTGGAAGGGTACATGCCTGCTCTGAGACTTTCTTCCAAAGGCACTTGTTCATCTCTTTGTTCTTAAGCTGCTGATGACCAACGTCCTATCAACTACTGTGAAACTAGTCTCCACAACTGTGATATCCCCCAGCGAGCTCAGTGCATCTATATGGGTGGCTCCTCCTACACCTGCTCCTGTCTGCCTGGCTTCTCTGGGGATGGCAGAGCCTGCCGAGGTATGTGGTGGCTCCAAATTTCCCTGTATACCCTGAAACGGGGGCCTGGGTACTACTTACTGCATGCTAATCGTCAACACACCATGTATATAAAGAACATGTATTCCTTTTGCTTCATTGAATACAAGGGTGGCCTTTTCTATCTTGCCAGCAACTGGAACTGTGCATTTTCTTGGAAAGTTGACCTCATTTGAGACCTGTTTAGCTTCCCCTACCTCCAAGGCAAGCAGTTAGATAGCTGCTCTTTCCTGGGGACTGAGGCTGGCTTGTTTTTGAAAACACAAACAGTCCTTGCTTGTGAAGAGCTTAACATCCACCTTTGTATGTAATGGGTTTGCTCTTACTTGTGCAAGAAATGAAATTCCCAGTTTGAAGTCAGAGAAGAAATAACACCATAGAATTTTTCCAGGCTTGGGAACAGCCTATAATTAGCTGCCGGGGGGGACTTGTAATAGTAATTAACATTGTAACTTAGGGCCCTTGGTTTGTAAAATTATACAACATTATACTGAACCCATTGCATTTAGTTCAGTAAGGATTTCAGAGATACTGTCTATTGTTGACTGGATAATTTTTCTCTGTAAATACTCAATAAGGAGCCACTTATTACAATAAAGAGAGAACATCAGACAGTGCAAATTTTTCCCTTTTGTAAGTTCAGTGTTTCCTGGAAACATTATTGTTACATGAAACACATTTGTAAATGTACTAGATAGAAGTTGGGGTATGAATGTCTTAAAAATTAACGTTTAGTGAGTTTCAGTGAGTCCCTGGTCTCTAATTAGAAGCGGATTCACATAGATTAGAGTGTGTGGATTAAATTATCGTATCAACCACAAATTCTGGAAGCAATCACATGGTCTCTGGGCCTGTGACTGTTTTGCAGACGTGGATGAATGCCAGCACAGCCAATGTCACCACGATGCCTTCTGCTACAACACACCAGGCTCCTTCACATGTCAGTGCAAACCTGGCTATCAGGGGGATGGCTTCCGGTGTATGCCTGGAGGTAAGATGGGAGTGTTAGGAGTTGATGGCTTATTGATGTGTTCAAAAGATTTGATGGCTTGGGAAGAAGGGGATATGAGGAAGTGGTTCATAGAAAGTTCTCAGAGTTCTCTAGGTTGGAAATTAGACCACAGGCTTTAGTGCAGAAACACATAGTACACAGCTTTACGGGATATCTCAAAGGACCCAAAGTCATGCTGGAATTTTAGATTGTATTGGTTCCTTGGTACTGGAGTCGGCAGCACAGGATAAAAACTGGTCATTGAGATATATTTACCAGGGTACTATAGAGAAACAGAACCAAGAGAATATATGTGTATATATGTACACATACACACACACAAGAAATTGAATCTTATTATTGTGAGTACTGTTAAAACCTAGCATCTGTTTTCAGGAAGTAACGAACCCAAGAAAACCAATAACCTTTTAGTTCAGGTGTGAAGGCCATAGAACCAAGATAGCTTATGGTAGAATTCCAGTCTAGAAACTAGTAGTAACCTTGTGACCCATAAAAGGCATATGGTTTGGAGGCTATCGTACAGAACAATCTCTCTCTCTGTCTCTCTGTCTCTCTGTCTCTCTGTCTCTCTGTCTCTCTGTCTGTCTCTCTCTCTCTCTCTCTCTCTGTCTCTCTCTGTCTCTCTCTCTCTCTCCTCCACCCCCAGTAGGGTCTTACTATGTAGCCCTGGCTGTTCTGCAGCTCCTTATGTGAACTAGGATGGCCTTGAACTCACAGAGAGCCTCCTAACTCTGCTTCCAGAATGTTGGGATCAAAGTCGTATGCTACCATGTCTGGACAAGAGTTCTATTTATTCAGAAATGGAGCAGTTTTTTTCTGTGATCTGTTTATGTCTTTACATGACTGGATGAGGCCAGGAAGAATAATGTACACAGAATGTCAACCTAAACAGTGCCTTCCAGAAACACTCAGGATGATGTGACCAAATGTTTGGGCATCCTGTGGTCCAGCCACATTGACATAAAATCAGCAGAAGCCTAGGGGTGGGGGTGGGAAATGGAATGTGTGATGGGGATTGAGATGAAGGGCCCAAGATGGAGAAAGGGTTAAAGTATGGAATGTTCTACATCACCGTTACCTGACCTGAATATGCAGCTTTGGGAACTGCTGCTCCCTGGTATGTAGGCACCCAGAAGCCTCAAGCCAGGGTGGGTTTGAGACTAGGAACTGGTACGACTCTCCAGAAATCCTGTGAACAAATGAGCATAGTTGGCTGCCAGTTATACAGAACCTACTAGGCATACCCAGTATCTGTGTTTGTCAGTTTTCAGTCAAGAGAACAAAATACCCAAGACTTTAACTTGAAGAACTTGTTTCGGTTTGAGATGTCAGATCATTGTTGATATTGTTGCTTTGGGCTGGGATGAGGCAGCCCCTCATGGTGGAGAGCATGGAGCAAAGCTGAGTACCTCAGTGGTAACTAAGAAGCAGAAAGAGAGTGTGGTGAGATGGCTCAGCAGGCAGAGGCCTTGCTGCCCCTAAGTTTGACCCCCAGAAGACATGGTGGGAGGAGAGACTGTTACAAGTTGTTCTTTGACCTGCACATATGCTCTCTCACTTGGGATTGGTATATTCATGAACCCACACGTGTATATGTGTGCATGTATGTGTATACATACACACACACACACACACACACACACACACACACAAATCGCTGCCAAAGGAGAAGAGGGCCACCTTCTGTTTTTGAAATTATGGGTCGTGGCTATAGCTCTGCCCACAGATTTTGCCGGGAAGGACACAGAGAAGCAGTAGTCCTGGCCACTTGAGCTGAGTGAGGTATTCCAGCTGCTGTTAAATCAGCCAGCATTCATCATATCTGTGGGCTGGTTTCACATCTCCAGTTCAAAGAGAAACAGATGTCTAAGTTTTTGTTTCGATTTTTTAAAAGTCTGACTCCTTGCCCTGTCTTAAAGGCTCTGTTTACTAAACAGAAACAGATCTAGACCTGTAGTCTGGGATGTAGCGATGGGATACTGATAATGTCAAAAAGAGCCATCTGCTAAGATGGTTTATTTATTTAATGTTGTTTTCAGAAGAAATCCAACATCCAGTTATAGACCCAAGAAGGCATGCACTAGAATGTACAAGGATGCTTATGCATTATTTATAATCAGAAAACAATCCAAATATCTAGCAACAAGAAGAATGGAAAGATGATTTTTAGTTTAAATTGTACTGTGAAATAACAGGCAGCAGGCAAAACAAATGGACTGGAGCAATAAATGAACCTCAAAAGATAATGTTGAAATAAATCATAAAAGGTTTACGAGTACGCACACGCGCACACACACACAAACACACATGCACGCACACTGAATAAGTGTGTTTTGTTTATTTGTTTTGTTGTAGAAAGGGGATATAGTTTAGTGGTAGAGTACTTGCCTAACAGATGAGGAAGAGGGTGAAGGAGGAAAAGAACTTATTTCGGGGAAGGAAACTTTAGGAGATAGGGCTGGAGACAATAGGTTATTGAAGGGAATGCTGGAATGCCAGCCCCTTCTTCTTCTTCTTTTTTATTTTGCCACCATGATGAGACTCATTTTCCTCTACCATGAATTCCCTGCCATGAAGCTGTGCATCACCACAGACTCAAAGATAAACAGTAAGCCCCTTCTTTGATTCCGTAACAACTGCTTCTCCCCCTGAACTCCCTGAGAAGTGATTCTTCTCATCTTCCCTCCCACCTACACAGCTCATGGCAGTTTCCAGTGAGTGTTTATAATACAAATAAAGCAGATAAGTGGTCTGAGGCTCCCCCAGGGTTTTGGTCTGGGAAAAAGCTATAATGGCATTTCCCACAGTGGCAACAGCAGCGGCACAGAGACTAGAGGCCATTTGCTTTTCCTGGTGTTTGATGCCTTTTTCTATTTCCCCCTCATTGTCTGCCCTTTCCTTGTTGCCTGTTCATTGCCTCTTCCTGAACTTCCCTCCCATCCGGCATCCTTGAGTTCATGATGGGCAGGAGCCTGACGTGGTCACAAATAGACATCTAATGTCTTTATTGTAATTGCGGTTCTTAGGAAATTGCTAGGGACTCCCAGGTAAGGACCATGTTGGAGACATTATATTCTGTCTTTAAAAATTTTCATTCTGGGAAGCATAGCCATGGGGCTGGGCAGATGTGTCTATTCAGCAGCTAGTGATGGCCCAAAGTCAAGAAAGAATGGGCATCGTTCATGGCATTCACCTTGCTCTATTCACAGATATGTGTCATGGTTATTCTAGAGTCTATGTAGCCAATGGGAGCAGCTGGTCCCTATAGGGAGCTCAGACAAAGCAAGTGAATGAGTAGCACCTCTGCACACCATTTCCCTCTGAGTAGTCGCAGGCTTCCCATTACTGGCTGTCCTCTGATAGAGAGACTTGGCACTTCTTAGCTACCCACTCCCTTCTACTCCAGGGCTGCACTGGCCATTCATTTGACAACATCACAAATATAACCAAGTGAACAACTAGAATGCAAATCCAGGGATCACAAATGGACTGCCTCTTCTTTCTCCTCATTTCCTTTCATTCTCTTTGCTGCCATCTCAAGAAAAGCCAACCCAGACTTCCTGTCTGCTCTCAGACATATCAAGGGACCATGCATTCCTTCTTACAGCTGAGCCAAACAGAAGAAATAGCTTGTTTGATAATTATTTTACCAACCAGAAATAAACTCAGAAAAGTGTCTTCTTGATTCTGTTGTCCCCACCCTATCTACCAGGCCCTTGATGCAAAATTCCCTAGGGTGTTAATCCTCGTACCCTTGGCTACTCCTGCTGCCTGTTTGTCAGACTAAGGATTTATTCCTGGAAGTCTAGGAGAACACATTGTGTTTTATAAACACTCTGTTCTTCAAGTTCTATTTCCTGACTCAGAATTGGGATTTCCTTTCCTTATACATTTGAGATAATTCTAAAAGTTTCACAGTCTATTCCAGATGATTTGAACTTTTGATTGTCCAACAGGATATCAACACAAGAGCCTGTCTGCTACATAAAAGGAAATAACCCTCACTCTCTTGAATGCTCTGCTTGGGGGCTGGGGCCATAGCTTAGTTGGTAAAATGCAAAAAAGAAAAACTTCAGTCTCTAGAACTTGCATTTAGAAACCGGACACACTCATGCTTGAAGCCGTAGTGCTGAGGAAGCAGAGACAGGGGGACCCTAATCAGTAAGCCTCATGCTAAGTAGTCTGTCAAAAGAATAAGCAAGGAAAACTGAAGAATGACATCTGGCCTCTACACACATGCACACAAGTGTACACACACACACACACACACACACACACACACACATACATGCAGACATCACTGTAGCTGGAAAAGTGGTTAAGGACAGAAATATTGAGAGGAGAACTTCTGGGAACTTTCAGACCATTTCACTGGATATGTTAAGGAAATAAGAATATGATTGTGCTCGTTACCTTTTTCATTGATATAACAATATGCTCAAGAAAACCAACTGAAGAAAGGGTTTATATTGGCTCATAGCCTGAGGGGATGCAGGCCATCCTAGTGGGAAGACATAGCAATGGGAGTGGAAAGCAGCTGGTCATTCTTGGTCTGCAGTCAAGAAGCAGAGAGATGAAATCAGGTACTCAGCTCTCTAGGAGCCTACTTCATGGTGCCACTTACATTCAGAGTAGGCTTAATCTCCTCAGTTCTTTCTGGAAACACCCTCTCAGGCACCATCACAGCTGGGTCTCCTAGGTGATTCCAAATCCAGTCACACCAACAATGAAGATTAACCCTTGTGGTCATCATCGTATTATTGTGTTCCCTGTGTAGGAGCCAGCCTACTGCTGGGAAGGGAGATGCAGAAACTCAAGACCAAAAGGAGCAGGGACTGGATCAGGAATCCACAGGTTTCAGTTGTAATTTGCAACGAGTTGCTTCCAGTGCTATGACTCTGAGGACTCCCTTAATCTCTTTGAGTTTTAGTTTTTTCCTTTGGTGTCAAAACCAGATAGAAACAGGAGTGATGAATCAAGAGTTAAGAGCACTTCCTGCTCTTACAGAGGACCTGACTTCTGTTACCAGCACCCACGTGTCAATCATGGCTCATGACCACCTGTCACTCCAGATCTAGGGGATAGGATATCGTCAGTAAGGCAGAAAAGAGCCAGTCTCTATCCTGTGAGAGCCCTGAGTCTGCCCAGAAGCCAGAGAACAACTCCTTCAGGTCATGGGACCCTAGAGTCTCTGGTCTTAGTACCTTGGGTCACCTGGAGGACCTGGGAGCTCACCTGAAACACTGAACCCAGTATGGGGGCAGGGGTTTTGAGAAGTCTTCCTACAAGAAATTAGTGCTTCAACACAGTCTCTGAGGGTTGACCAGGCAATGGAAAAGGGGTTCAGCTGGGAAGTTAAAGGGGGCCTTCACACAAAGAACAACTCATGGAAAGGCCTAGAAGGAAGAAGTTCCAAGACTGGGATGAATATAGCTCTCAGTGGTAGCATGGAGAATGGATGCTTCTCAATGTCTCTTTGTAATTCATTCCTCAGAGGTGACCACTCTACTGGCTCCCATGGTGGCTAGACTCCAGAGAATGTCAAACCCAGCTGTAACTCTGCATGTTTAGGAGTTGTTTATTCTATGTCAAGTTTTATTTTGCTTGAGACAGATTGTTCTTGAACTTCTAATCCCCCCTGCATTAGCGTTCTCCCAAGTGCTGAGATTGTAGGCTTGCACCATCGCCCAGCTTCCTAAGCTTCTTATATAACGGGTTTTCCCTGCTTTGGAATCTGTGCTGTACACTTTAGATGCCAGGTTTCATGGCAGACATAGGTCTTTACTAGAGGGAAACATGTAGAAGCTGGTGAGTGTCTCATGGTCCTTGGTCTCCAAACTCTTGGATTTAGACACAGTGTAGATCACACAAAGCTTGAATGGGTAAAAGAAGAATTTAAGATTAACTCAAAATGCCTTATAACAAAGTCCAGGGCCATCCATCAGTGGAAACACGGTTAAAAATTTGTGGCTTTTCTATAGATGCAGTACTATTCAGCTGTTGAAAGGGAGGATGGGTGGACATCACCGTGAGGATGGGCCTGGGAGATCTGCTAGGGGAAGGAAGTCAGATGCCAGGCCACATGATCTATGATTTCATTGGTATGAAATATACAAAATAGGAAAGCCCACAGAAAAGATGGATATTGGGAACTTTTAGGGTGGAGAGGAAGGAGACAGGGCAGCATCTGCTCTCTAGGCATGAGGTTTCCTTTTAGGATGATGAAATGGTTCAGATATGAACAACCGTAACTAGTCATCACTATGAATGTGCCAAATGCTACTGAACTGCTCATTTAAAGTATTTCCTTTTATTGTATGTCTGGTTTGCCTTATTTTTAAAACTTCAAAAGAACTATGCAGGAAAGGAAATCTACATGTATAAATGATATTTTGATTTTTTTTCAAAGACAGGATATTACTACATAGATAAGGCTGGCCTTGAAATCACAGAAATCCACCTGTTTCAAGTACTAGGATTTAAGGTGTGTGCCACCATGCATGGCATGGTGTAGCTTTAAAAAATCATAAGTCTTTTTTTCTTCTTGAGACAAGGTCAAGCTAGTCATGAACTCATGGCTGAAGATGACCTTGAACTTCTGAGCCAAGGACTCATTGCATGCTATGCAAGCATTCTTGTCAACTAAGCTACATCTATGGCTCTCATAATGGTGCCTTAAATTTGAAAAGAAAAATGAATAGAAATTGTTGAGTTAAATATTTAAAATCGGCCGACTATCTAAGCTGCGGTGGCTCTGCCTAGCTCAGCTGCCATGTTTCTCAGCTGGAGGCCTCGTGTGTGCTGCAGCTAAAAATGGCCAGCCAAAAACACCAGCCCTGCCACCCATGAGACGTCAGCGTTGGAGATGGCTCTGCCAATCTCCCATGCTGTCTCCGAAAGGCTGAGCATTGCCCAGACCATCCCGCCAAACACATGGGCCCAGTAGGAAAATGAGACTCTAATGCTTAAATTATTTAAAAGCTTATATATTTGGTAATGATCAGTAACAAGATGCCCATACAATCAGAAGTGTAACCCAATACCCAACCTAGATATACCAACTACCTTTGACTGCTACAGACACGTGAACATCCACCTCCATGTTCCCCTCTCTTTCATTCCTCTCTCCTAGCTCCTCCTCTTCCTTCTCCTCCTCTCTTCCTTACTCTTCCTCTTCCTCTCCTTACTCCTCCAACCTTAGCTCCTCCTACAAGAAATCCAATGATGACAGGTCACCTTTGTGGTCCAAGTTTGACAAGTGGCATTTGGGTGCGCCATGTTTGGCTCAACTGACACTCTGCTTTGCTTGTCACTGACAGAGGTGAGCAAAACCCGGTGTCAACTGGAACGAGAGCACATCCTCGGAGCAGCTGGGTCAGCAGATGCACAGCATCCCACACTGCAGGGAATGTATGTACCCCAGTGTGATGAATATGGGCACTATGTACCCACCCAGTGCCACCACAGCACTGGCTACTGCTGGTGTGTGGACCGAGATGGTCGGGAGCTGGAGGGTACCCGTACCCCACCTGGGATGAGGCCCCCATGTAAGTAGACAGCTGTTATGTAGAATCAGAAACTAGAATGATCTGTGCTAGTGGATGTATTGCCTAGTCTTCCTGTTTACATGCTCCCAACTCTCCCTCTCTCACTTTTTGCCTAGGTGGGCATGTTTCTGTTTATGAGGTCAGAGGATGCCCCATCCCATAGCAATGGACAGGTGCCCTCATTGACAGCTTTCTTTATTCAGTGTTAAAGATAATGTCGCTCTCCGAAGACAGAGGTGTTGGTGCAATTGTTCCCAGCACTGCTTTGGCTCTCACGCCCGCCCAGCATCCAGCCAGAACATAAATAACCAAGTCATATGGAGCAAAGCTACCCCACTAGACCTACTAAACTGATGATCTGCCCTGTCTTCTTCATAAATGCCCTTTGACTGGCTGAAGGCATTCTGTCTCTGGAGTTTTCAGACAGAAAATGGGTATTGTGTGGTTGGTGGTGCTGTTTGAATACAATAAATGTGACGAGACCTAGGACATGGGTGATATGTAGATGGTGCATGAGCACATATACACAAATCTTCATCTGTACATATGTATGCACATGTATGTGTACCTGTGTGCTCACACATGGATTGATGGATGTGTCTGCATGCTTGAGCATTAGAATGCACCCGTACATTTCTGATATTCACAACCCTCATTCATTGAGCATCCCTTGCCCTCTAGGTCTGAGTACAGTGGCTCCTCCTATTCACCAGGGACCAGTAGTGCCTACAGCCGTCATCCCCCTACCTCCAGGGACACACTTACTCTTTGCCCAGACTGGGAAGATTGAACGCCTGCCCCTGGAGAGAAACACCATGAAGAAGACAGAAGCCAAAGCTTTTCTCCATATTCCTGTGAGTATCAGCTGAATAGCTCTGGTGACAGTCCCAGCTCTAGGGGCCTGGCTACCAAGATAGTTAGTGGCTATATATAATATAATAGAATACCAAAATAATTAATATAACTTAATACTAATAATAATATAACTTAATACTAATGTGGTTAATATCTATGTATAATATAAAATATAATGTAGCATAATATCAAGATAGTATAATACAAGACAATATAATATCAAGATAGTTTATAGCTAAGTATACTATAGTACATATGTATGGTATCAGTATAGCATGGCACAACACACTATAATACCAACATAGTTGATAGCTATGTATAATATAATATTATACCAAGCTAGTAGTTATATTTGTAATCTAATGTAATACAACATCCATTTGTAAATATAATACCATTCTGTCTTGATTATAGTAGGTCTTAAAGTCAGGGAGATTTGAGTTCCTTTCTTAAACTGTCTGGACTATTTTAGATATTTATTTTATTTTAATATTTTGGCAGTCTCATTCTATAGATCAGGCTAGCCTTGAACATGTTATTGTAGTCAAAAACTCTTGGCTTCTACCTCCTGGGTTCTGAGATTACAGTCATTAGCAGCCACACTGATGGTGTTGTTCACATGTTCATGTAATATTTTAAAATAAACTTCTTGGTCCATTAAAAAAACAACAATAAGAACAACAACAACAACCCATCCAGCCATGAGTGATGGCTCACACCTTTAATCCCAGCATTCAGGAGGCAGATCTCTGTGAGTTCTAGGCCAGCCTGGTCTCCATAGGGAGTTCCAGACCAGCCTTTGTTACATACACAGCCCAACAACAATAAAAAAAGAGAAGAACCAAACAACTTGGTAACTTTAACAAAAGAGACACTGAGTCACTGAAGCCATCACTAAAGGGAACTGATGTCTTAACAGTATTAAACTGCAGAATCCATTAACCTGATTTACCTCTTTCTAATTACCCAGGTCTTGTTTAATTTCACTCTCTAATGCTTTGCAGGGCTCATTGTAGGATCTTGTGCATTTGAAATGCTCATTTAGGGGCTGGAAAGACAGCTCAAAGGTTACAAGCACTTTCTGCTTTCACTGAGGATCCACTTGATTCCCAACACACAAGTCAGTTCACAGATACCTGTGACTCCAGCTCCAGGGGATCCAACACTCTCTGCTGGCCTCCAGAGGCACAAATACAGACACATAAGCATTCACACATACACAGAAATCAAAAAAATGAAAAAATGAAAATCAAGCTGGAGAGAATCATGCATGCACACATACATACATATGTGCAAGCGCAAACACATGTTTTTAGAAAAGAGGGTTTTTTTCTGAACTATATAGTTTCTACAATTCAATAATTAAAAATGTGAATGGACAAAACATTTATTTCATTTAAAATACTATTTGAGGATGTATATGCAAGCACATGGGAAAAATCAAGGCAACACTAGCTAGTGGGAGATTTTTTTTCTGAACTATAAAGTTTCTATAATTCAATAATTAAGACTATGAATGGACAAAACACAATTGCTTTGTTTAAAATACTATCTGAGGATATATAGGCACGTGGGAAGATTCAAGGCAACACTAGTTAATGGGTGAACTGCTCTCAGCCACTGGTATTACTTCCAGGCAAAAGTCATCATTGGACTGGCCTTTGACTGCGTGGACAAGGTGGTTTACTGGACAGACATCAGCGAGCCTTCCATTGGGAGAGCCAGCCTACATGGTGGAGAGCCAACCACCATCATTCGACAAGGTGGGCAAGCAAACATTGTCTCTTTGGGGGTTGCTTCTAGCAGCCCATGCTGCTCTTGGCAGGAAGGGAGGGGTGGAGAGTAAGCTGCTTCATTCACTAGGAAGCAGGTCTTCTGCCTCTACGCTCTGTCCTTTTCATCTCCTCTGAAGTTTTCCATAGGCCAGTTGAGTCATTAAACCAGGGACTTTCTGGCTGAGGTTAGCTGCTTGTCTCAGGATAATTAAACTGAAACAAGGCAGAGGCCTGTGCCCTTCCCTTGGAAGCATACACGGTCCACCTTTGTGCGTCATGAAACCAAACTCAACATTCCATTTCTTTCTCTAGCTTCCGAGCCTGCAATGGCTTCTCACAGAGTGCTCCACCATGTGCTCCGTGGGGGAATTAATCAAAGGCAGTAGATGTCTGAGCTGCAATGGCTTCTCATAGAGTGCTCCACCGTGTGTTGCATGGGGGTTTAATCAAATGTAGTGGGGTGAAAGGAATAGTCCAGAAACCCACTAGCATATTGACAGATACTCACCCAGAAGTTGAAGACTATTTACTTATTTAATTTTTGAGATAGGATTTCACGTGAACCAGGCTACCCTCATTAAGTAGCTGAGGATGACCTTGAACTCATGATCTTCCTGCCTCTAACTCCCACCAGTCAGGATTATATGCATGCACCACCACTCAGCTTGCTTAATTAATTTAATTAATATCTTCAGTCTAACATTCTCCCAACTGAGCTATTATGGCTACTATTTATTTTAAACCAATGTTTGGCAGCCTCATCTAGTCTGAAAGTCCTGCTTCTCTTGCCTCTTTCTCTCTGGTCCTGGGTTACAAGTATGTATCACCACACCCAGCTCTGCAAGTAGTGTCTATTCCCAAGGCTATATTGGGGTTAAAGAGTTATCATTTCAAAATACAGCATCTTGGGTGGAGGTAGTTTCTTTTCCCTGCCTCAACACATCTCTCTTCTCCCTAGTTCTTGCTTGGAATTTAACTAGCCTGGATCAACTCTCACAGAGAATTCTGTTTTGCTTAATATGACAAAGTATGTGTTGTGTTGACAGAGCCTAAGGTTAAATGTTTAACGTTTAACTTCTACTAGGTGCCTGCTTGAACAAAGAAATATGCAACATTTTAATACCATTCAATAAATAAAGAATAACCAGGCCCTCTGTTGTAGGCTTGTCATGACAGGGTGAGGCAAAAGGGTCACAAGTTCCAGGTCAGCCTGGGCATCTTGTAAGACCTTGTCTCAAAATAAAAAGTTACAAGAGCCTCAGGGATACAGCTCAGTGCTTGAGCCTTTGTGTAGCATGTGTGAGGCTCTGGGTTCAATCTTCAGTTTAAAAAAAAAATCCACTTCACACGAAAAGGTCTCCAGTACTGAAATGGTCAAGGAACTTGAGCTGTTTCAGTCATTACTCATCAGATTTGGAAATATTTTTTGCCATGCTGACATTAGCTGTATGAAGCTCTGCTTCCTCTGCAAAGCATTCAACTTGTAATTTAGCACCCCTCTAACAGTTAATGTTCTGTAAGGACCCACCCGTTGGCCATTTCTCCTCTTCCTTGTTTCCTTTGTAGAGATAACACATCAGGAACCAAGCTGATGCTGCATGATACACCCCTGGCTTTGCACTTGGCTCTCGATTCCTTTTTTGAAAGCCAATGGGCTATTTAAATGATGCTGGTTACCTTTCATGCTCTGGCTTATGAAGAGAACTTTGAAAATGCCTTTTACCCCTCTGTTGAAAATGTTGTTGCTGTTATCTGATTTCAAATCCTGATGGAAGAGGGGAATAGGTCACTGTCTGCTATTTCCTGTTGCTTTTGGCACCAGAAATCAGCTAAGGGACCTTTAAGCACAGTGAGAACTGTAAGAAAGGCCAAAACTGACTAACTGTGAAAGAACACAGAATCAACCAAACATCTTGTCTGAGACTGACTTCCAGAGAGTTTCTGGGGGTACTGGAGATGTAGGGTTCGTCTCCTCCTGAGACCTCCTTACTAGGTATCAGTCTCAAATTCATTTTCACACAGCAGTAAAGGAAAACTTATTCCCTTGCCATCTCCTTGTTTATCAACGTAGGCACACACACACACACACACACACACACACACACACACACTCCTATGAGTTTCTCTAGCTCTCGGTAGTTTAAGATCAGGGTCAGCATTGTGTAGAAGGTGACAGTGCGACATACCTTCCTAATAGGCTTCCTCTGGGTGCTCAGTGAAGACTGGCAGCTCACATCCCTGCAGTATGCAGGAGCTGCTCAGGGAATCCCACAGGATGTGCTCATTCCAAATTTTCCCCTGATTGAGTGGCTGCTGGGGTGCGTGTATGTATTCTGTCTGAAAGCCACAGGGAGCCCCTGGGAGACAATTCCATTGTTCCGGGGCCTCTTGTGGTGTGGGAAAGAGCTTAATACTTTAAACAGCTCTTCTTTGTCTGTGAATAATAAACCATATGTACATTTTATTTATCTGAATCACTGTTCTCTGGTTGGGCTCTTGTCAGAGGCTTGTGTGTGTGTTGTGTGTGTCTGTGTGGGTTGAAGGTACACACACATGTGCATGTCAGTATCAGGTGAATGGCACAATCACTCCCCTACCCTTTTTTTTGAGACAGGGTCTCTTACTCAATCTAGAGCTCATCAATTTCGTTACCCTGAGAGGCCAAAAGCCCCAGAGATCCTCTTGTCTGTGCTTGCCCAGTGCTGGGATTACAAGTGGCTTTGCCACGCCTGGCTTTTATATGGTTCTGGAATTGATCTTAGATCCTCGTGCTTGCACAGCAAACACTCTACCAACGGAACCATCTCCTTAACCCCTGACAGAAACTTTGCAGCCCCTACATCATTCTCTGTTCTAGGAAAGGATGAGATGAGAGGTTAACTTGCTTGTATATGGATGAGAGGATGCAGGGATGATTTTCTCAAACGCCTGATGCTCGGGATAACACAGCCTGGTTCCCTTCCTAGTTACACTCCAGCCAGGCTAAATGACCCTCAGTCCTCTGGTTAGGACAGTGGGAGGATCTCAAGTATGGCAATAAATCCTACAACGTCACTTTGTACTTTTAGTTTACAGTGACTTACGTAGAGTATTGGTTTCACAGTGGCGATCTGTATTTTGACTGCTGTTGCAATCAAGTGGGAAGTATAATTTGTAATTGTCAAACACTTTCTTTTTACCCTTTATATTTGTATTTAAGTACTAAGAGTGTGATCAGCAATGTCATTTCCTGAAATGCCTCCCTGTCCTGTAATTGCTAAGGAAGAAAGATCTACCTTCCATCCTCACTTAAGACGCCATGCCTCCTGTTTGTATTAGATAAGCTCTGGCTTCTTTACCTCCGTTCCCATTTCACCAAGAGCCACTCCGTCACTCTCATGGTCTCTGGCCATATAAAATGAATCACAGACTACCTCAAGCCACTTGCAGTCTTCTTTATACCTAAAAACACTTATGCAAGACACTTATCCAATAAAATCTCATTGGTCCTCCAGGAACTAGCTTCTACAGATGCCTACTTCCCTAGAACCTTTCCCTGGTGAACTCAAGCTGACTCTGTATCTGCATCTGCCCATAGAAACTAGACCTCAGTTTGAATGGTGGTTGGCTGTGGACTTCTTAATGGACAGGGATATATCTTTATCATGGTGACTCTCCTGCTTCCCAGGGTGGTACCCAAGGAATGGGTGAGGATGGTTGAATTTGTCACTTGGAAAATTGATCATCTTATAACAGTAAGAATTTCACATTCCCTTTTGGTTTCTCAAGGTTTGACCACCATGTCTAAGACAGCTGAACAATCAGAGAAATCTTGGCTAGGATATGACTCAATGTTTCCTTCCTTCCAGATCTTGGAAGTCCTGAAGGCATTGCCCTTGACCATCTTGGCAGAACCATCTTCTGGACAGACTCTCACCTGGATCGAATAGAAGTTGCAAGGATGGACGGCAGCCAGCGCCGAGTGCTGTTTGACACGGGTTTGGTGAATCCCAGAGGCATTGTGACAGACTCTGTAAGAGGGTATGTTTGCCTACACATGTGTCTGGCTTTTTTGTTTTTAGTCTCTGGCCTTTTTGAATGGTTTCTGGTGAGGTTCTAATGCCAGCCTTGCCCTCCTGAGGTGTTTCCTCCATGCAAGATCAAACAGAGTCTACAAACTGATGAGATGCTGGCACACTTAGCACAATGCTCATACCTTACTATGTTCCAGTTTCACAATTCTTTCTAGAAACTTTGTAGGGTGATGACTCAGAAATCGAGTAATTTCTAGATAGGTTGAATGTGAACTAACATTCAAATTGCATGAATGCTGTAGAATATTGGGTTGGCCTAACCATTCCCCCAACACTCCTTGTTGGAGCAGATGTGGCTAAAGCATCTTAGAATCCTCTTCCTGAGGTATTCTTCAGCCCATCGCAGCTTCTCACCCTATGGCAAGCTCTCAGTCTTACATCCCAGGCCCCAGCTCCTAGAGACAGTTTCCTTAGAGACACTATCTCTTGTGTTGAGGCCATTCTGCTACTTCATACACAGCAGACATTTCCACTGCCTCTGCTGGCATTTGAATCTTGCTTTAGTCAAACCACATTGTTCCACTGCGGCCTCCCGCATAGGCTTATCACTCAGGGAATTACTGTTTGCTGTGTCTGCCCCAAAGTCTATGTGTCTATCATTCCTCAGTCATTGCCCACCTTGTTTTGATCAGGATGTCTCACTGGCCTGTACTTCCCAAGTTGTGCAGGCTATCTAGCCAGAGAGACCCAGTGATCCACCTGCCTCCTTCTCCCCAGCACTGGGATCACAACTCTCAGTTACCACACTCAGCTTTTTGTTTTGAACACGGTGCTTGGGATTGAACCCAGGTCCTCACTTTGCCCACTGAGTTTTTTCAAGATAGTATAAAGGAAATATTAAAGGAGATTCATTAGTGACAGATAACCTAATTTGAACAAAGAGCCAAAATAACCCTAGAATTCACCTTAGCATCTCAGAATCTCACTTAGCTGTATTGTTTTCTTGTCTGCTGATAACTTCCTACCTGGTCTTTTAAAAGTGTTTTCAGGATCTTGCTTCTTCCTTTCACTCTGATGCCTCTTCCAGGAACCTTTATTGGACAGATTGGAACAGAGATAATCCCAAAATCGAGACTTCTCACATGGATGGCACGAACCGGAGGATTCTCGCACAGGACAACCTGGGCTTGCCCAATGGTCTGACCTTTGATGCCTTCTCGTCTCAGCTCTGCTGGGTGGATGCAGGTAACAGGAAGCTTGAGATCATCTACACATAGTTCTCCATTGTCTGATTCTTCTTGACCTCTTGAGTTGGCAAATCTCACCCACCGCCTCTTTCTGTCTAGCGAATAAGCTCAGAACAAACTTGACATTGTTAAATGTTACCATTTTAAGTGTTGTTATAAACACCTGGTATCATGCTCGCTTTTGCCCTTTGGCCTGTAGAACCTGAAATAATTGCTATATGACTCATTAAAAAAAATGACTGACTCCTATTTTGGTGGGAGGTTACTCAGTATTGAATTTAGGGTCTGCTATATGCTGTATTTTCAGAGGTATTAGTGCATCCTGCATAGAGCCCCTGATGTGGCCCTGCTTCAGCTGTTCAGGGTGTCCCTCAGGCTTCAGATGAGATGAGAGAATGATGCTTCTCAAGGAGGACCACCCTTCATCCCTCCCTGTGAAAGTCTGTGGCTGAATACCTTCTCTGTCTCACAGCTAGTGTGAATGCTTACATGTTTATAGAAGCCTGTGACAGCCATCAGTGCAGGCATTAGTGGCAGGCCAGTCTCATGCTGATCAATCAGAGTTCTTCAGTGCCTCAACTTTGGGAAGAAAGGTTCTGGAGAGACTTAGAGGGAAGGGACTTGAGCAAAAGCCAGAAGATAGCAGAGTGTCTCCTGAGACAAAGGGCCGGGAAGGCCGGCACAGGCTGTGGTTTCTCTGTCCTGGCTCACCTCTCCTTGGGAGGCCCAGGTGTGGGTGCCGGAACTCAGGTGGGTGTAGGCTGATGAAAAGGAAAAGACAGAAAACAGAGACAGCATGCCGACGCTGAAGAGCCAGCCCTCTGTGTTCTCCAAGACATGCCACTGCAGCACTGAACTCCCCCATCCTTGTCTTTCAGACTCTTGTTTTCTGGCACAAAGGGCCCATTTCTTGCATGAACAATGACCAACTTGTGTTTGCTTCATACAGGCACCCATAGGGCAGAATGCCTGAACCCAGCTCAGCCAGGCAGACGCAAGGTTCTCGAAGGGCTCCAGTATCCTTTCGCTGTGACGAGCTATGGGAAGAATTTGTACTACACAGACTGGAAGACGTATGTAGGCTGTTGTCATGCTGGCTGGGCAGAGCTATGGCCTTCTCTTTGTCTCTGTGGAGGTCTTTGCCTCTTGCCTCTTGTCCTGACCTTTGACCCTCCAGTGATCCCCCCCTTCTTCCTGGCTGTCAGATATGGAGGAGGGTAGAGGAAGAGGGCTGTTTAATCTCAGAGGGGAACAGAGGTGCCATTTACCATACCCAAACCTAGGACTTCCTGAGCATGCATGTTCTTTCCCCAGGAGCCACCTGGAGTCACATGGCTGGAGGGATCCTTGATTATGCCATTCCTCTACATCAATGTAGTTTTTTTTGGTTTTTTTTCTCTTTTTGGGGGGGGGGGGTTCAAGACAGGGTTTCTCTGTGTAGTCCTGGCTGTCCTGGACTCACTTTGTAGACCAGGCTGGCCTCAAACTCAGAAATCCACCTGCCTCTGCCTCCCAAGTGCTGGGATTAAAGGTGTGCGCCACCACTGCCTGGTGTCAATGTAGTTTTTTTTTTAGGGGTTTTTTTTTTTTTAGGTTTTTGTTTTTGTTTTGTTTTGTTTGTTTGTTTGTTTTGGTTTTTCCGAGACAGGGTTTCTCTGTGTAGCCCTGGCTGTCCTGTAACTCACTCTGTAAACCAGGCTAGCTTCAAACTCTCGAACTCAGAAATCCGCCTGCCTCTGCCTCCCAAGTGCTGGGATTAAAGGCGTGCGCCACCACCGCCCGGCATCAATGTAGTTTTTAAACTGCAATATTTTCGAAGCTGCTTCTGCACCAGGCCTTCCTCAAAGGGAGGGTCACACCAAGGAGGTAGCTGGCTAAGAGAGCCTATATGTCACCTGGAATTTAAAGCAGAGGAGAGAACTAGATTGTTTTGACTTTTATTTTAAAAAGCTGGTGAACTACAGGCTTGATGCACCCCAGGGGGTAGGAAGGAAGGGATACACAGAGAGCAAGACCACCACGCCTCTTTCTCTTCCAAGCCACAGAAGAGGCTGCCTAACTCCATCGAGAACAGTTCAAGACGTCAGATGCATGTTCACTCTGTGCTTTGGTGCTTTGCAGGAATTCAGTGATTGCCATGGACCTTGCTATATCCAAAGAGATGGATACCTTCCACCCACATAAGCAGACCCGGCTGTATGGCATCACCATTGCCCTATCCCAGTGTCCCCAAGGTAACATCCATGCTGCTGAATGGGGGTCAACAATCGGAGTCTCTAAGAGAGTCAGGGTGGCCTAAGTACACCCATGGGCTCCTTTATGTAGGTGTCCCTTCCTGAAGGACTCTTGAATTTTCCCACCTCAATTAACTTAATCTAGAACCTCTTAACAGACATACCCAGAGGTGTATTTCTGTTGTGATTCTACCAAATTGACAATCAAGATTAACCACACACCTCCAAATCAGGAATGCATGCACTTGCCTCTTATTTATAGTAGAGAAACAAACAGCAGCTCAACTTGGCCCCTTGAGCCCACAAGGAGGTTAATGGGGAGCTTGCTGTAGGTACCAAATCAGTCAGAAGGAAGACTGTGACGCTGATCTCCATCTTTTCCAGGCCATAATTACTGCTCAGTGAATAATGGTGGCTGTACCCACCTCTGCTTGCCCACTCCAGGGAGCAGGACCTGCCGATGTCCTGACAACACCCTGGGAGTTGACTGCATTGAACAGAAATGAAGTCAAGAATTCCATGCTTCCTCTCCAAGTATTTCACAGTAATGCCCAACTTGAAGTGACTTGATCCAGACTGAAAGGTGTCCTGCAGTGGCGTGACCACTAGGCCCAGATCTAGCCTAGCCTGAGCCCTCACAACCTCCCCTTAACCTTCCCTAAAACAGTTACCCTTAGCTCAGTAATGGGAAAATCTCTACCCCAACATAAGGGCAGGACACACACACACACACACACACACACACACACACACACATACACACACATCGTGATCTCAGTTTTTAGACAAGATTACAGAGTTCTGAATAAAAAGCCAAGGGGGGTGGTCCATGCCTACAGCACTTGGGAGGTAGAGGCAGGAGGATCAGGAGTTCAAGGCCAATCTGTCTTGTATGTGTAGCAGGGTTTAGGGACAGCCTGAGTTACATGAGACCCTTCTTCAAAAATAAAAATTCAGGGTAGAAGTTATGTGTCCATTCTAGAGCCATAGGACCTTTTCCTAATCCTAGACTCCCCCATGGTAGGCAGACCCTCATAGACCAAAGGAGGCTACTTCTCTGTGGCATTACAAGCTCAGCTATTACCCAGTTTTTTAACTTAGGCGATCCAAATCCAGCTTAGGCGAGGTAATGAGTCTTACTATTTCTCTTGGTACTCAAATCTCTGCCTTTATACTCCCATCTGACTGCTCTCCTGTTGTACACCTTCATCCTGCCCAAGACTCTGCTTTTAGTGCCTTCTCTGCCATATGATCAAAGCCCAACAATATCCTAGGGATTCATGGTATTTGGTGGATGGTAAAAAGCAACTCCTCCCAAATTAAGAAGACTTGACATTTCAACAGTGGCCACTAATAATCAGGTAGAGAAGTCAAGCAAATGTCCTGTGAGAGGAATTTGAAGATGTAGAATCAAGATGTTTGAAGATAGGGGATTATTATCTTCATATGCCTTGAATTATAGCAAATTCTTCCTCTTTGCCAAAGTACCTGTATTAGATCTGGTCTATGATACCATGGGAATCTTCAGCCCACTCCTGGTGCCAGTTTCCAAGTCTTCTCATGGAGAGTCATCTGGAGCCCAGGCTGGGGTAGGACTGGACAAAGTAGTAGCCAGTCATAGTCCCTCACCTTTAGAATTGTATCTTTGTCTCTCCCTCTCTCTGTAGCTTTCTGACTAGATCCTCTTCTGAAGACACAATCTAGGAAGATCTAACTGGGTATTTCTACTAGTGGTTCAGATTCTTATTTGATCGTCAGTATAGTTTGAAGGACTGTTGCTGCCTTCCATGTTTCTGTCTGTGATTTGTTTCAAAAATATCCCTGACCAGATGCATAGCTACTCTCTCTCTCCTGTCTATCTATCTATCTATCTATCTATCTATCTATCATCTATCTATCTATCTATCTATCATCTATCATTTATCTCTATCTCTTTTTTTCAACTGCTTCCTAGATACTTAAAGCATTAGAAATTTTGGATTGAAAGTCAAGCATCAGAAGTTCAGTTTGCACGGTGTAGGGTAAGGGCAAGACTCAGTTGGAACTATCACAAAGTGGTGGATAAGGATGGAGAACAAGAATGGAAAACCCAAGAAGGAACAACAGGAGAGAGACTTAAAGGCAGCTAAAACTAAAACCCTTAAATAACTTCAGAGAAAAATGGCACATTTTCCAAAAGAATGCATACCCTTGAAGACATAAAGGAACTTGCCTGATGTTTTTCTTGGGGAACAGAGCCCCCTACCTCCTTTTCTTCTAGCTTCACCATACTTAGCCCCCAACCCTATCTCCTCCCTGCACCTCGACCTGCTTACATTGGACTGGGAATCTAAACTGGGAGGGAGTCGTTACTTAAATAATTAGAATTTAAATCACAAGATTTAGGAAAGGTGTGACTCTTTTATGCAACCTCATGAAGTACCCTCAGTTTTTTGTTTTCTGTTTTTTTTTTTTTGTCATGTTCCTCATGATATGCATCTCTTATGACTTTTATTCATTTTACTAGATTCCTTGTAAAATGTTTTACATGGTAAATTCTTAAGCTGTGGAAACCACTGAAGGTGCTTACTAATGGTTCTCCAGATGTAGTCAAGTATTGGATGACTCCTCGAGTTTACAGCTGTACAAATATCAGTGCAGAAAAATAATTAAAAACAACTGTTAAAAATAAAATCTTATTTTGATGTGTTTTTGTTGTTTTGTTCTATGATAGTGTGTTGCAATGTTGAGGACCAGACTTGACTTCAGACTCTCAATCCTCCTGCCTCAGCTACTTGAGAACTGGGATCAAAAGCATACGCTACCATAGTTCATGATGGAAAAACAGAGATTTAGTGGCTGACAAAACCTAGGGGACCCAAGACTTTACCTAAGAAGCTGTTCATTAGCCGCATAGTTCACAGAAGAGAATGGCTTATGATTGGCTTTAAAATGAATTATATCCCAGACTCTAAATTACTGTTATGGACATTTTCTTTTTGTCTGTTTATCTCCTTCCCGTTCCTAACTCTTTTTATAAGAACTCATATAGCATATAGCATATAGCATATAGCATATAGCATATAGCATACTAGCCTAAAATTCTCAGTGTATCTGAGTATTGCTTTGAACTTCTGATCTTTCTGTCTCTATCTCCTGATTGCTGGGAACACTCATGTACTACCCTAAGCCCAGTTAGGTAGGGCTGGGGATCAAACCAACCATCAGGGCTTTTTGAACATTAGGCAAGCAATCTACCAAACCAGCTAAATCCCAAGTCTTCACTATTTTTGTTATTTTAGACCAATTCATTTTTTGTTGCTGGGGATAGTTTCCTGCCTCAGTGTGGAGATAAGCTGCCACATCCTTCTTATCTTCAGAAAGAGGAAGAACACTTTCCTGACAGGACTGGGCATGAGACCTGATCTGTTCCATTTCACCTATGGGAGGTGCTACCCAGAGTTCCCATAATGGGACGTGAATGGTCTCTGAGTTGGACTGAGGGAGGGGGCCCGGATAGGACTAAGGTTCTCAGAGCTCAGTGCTGCAGAGCAAGGAGTCTATAACTTGAGATGTCCCTGTGATACAAGGCAGTGGTAATAACCGTTCCTGCCTGCCTGTGAATGTTGTTTGAAGGAGACACCCTGAACGAGAACTAAAATTCAGTGTTTTATTCTGGCCATTAAAGCCTAGTTCTATCCCAAGGGCATAAGGGAAGATGCTAGAAAGAGAATCTCCAAGAACCCATCCCTCCATCAGAATCAGCAGCTTTCCTGGGCCCCAGGGTATGGAACTTACACAATATCTACTTATTCTAATGAATAATATTTGGAACACCCAGGAGAGAGTGTGGATGAGGCTAGTGAGTTATAGTTAATTTCAACTTTAGTCAAGCCTACCATTTCCAAATAGTTTAACCCATGACAGGAAGATCTTGGGGTAGTGACATACATTCATGGTCTGATTTACTAGAGCCATCATGGGCAGTAAAAACTTTGCTCTCCAAAAATCTGATATATCCTGATACAATTTGGCTACCCCCCCTTTTTTAAAGAAAACATTTTTTTAATCCTTTAAGAAGTTCATAGGTGAATACAATGTATTCTGTTCATATTCACTTTTCCCCCAACTCCTCCCAGATCCACTCCCACCCTATCCCAACTTCCTGTCCTCTCTTTGTTGTTGTTGTTGTTTTAAAATTACCCATCAAGTTCAAGTTGTACTGCCTTTATATTCTTGGGTGTAGGGACAACAACTGGAACAAGATTGATCTACCGGGGCCCACCTTTCCCCCAGAAAAATTACCTTTCCCCCAGAAGCCATCAACCATCAAAAGGTTGTCACATCAGTCAGGGCTTGGCATATAGGCTCTGCCCTACTCTATGCTGAAAGCTGACTGGCTTGATTCTGTGCAAACATCAAAAGAAGCAAAAATAGCTGTGCATCAAAGCATGCTATCAAGAGAATAGAAGGCAATCTACAGGAAGGAAAAATGTCTACAAATGCATTATTCTGGTAAGGAACTAGTATTCAGGAACATAAAGATCTTTTGCAGCTCAATAGCCAAGAGAACTAAGTTCAGAGATGAATAGTGGATCTGAATAAATACTCCTGTGATGGAGATGTACCGTTGATGAGTAAGCACATGAAAAGATGCTCAAGGCTGTGGATGCTGCTGAGAGGCACAGCGCTTGCTCAGCATGTGCGAGACCCTGGGTTTGACCCCAGCTCGGAAAGAAAGTCCTTATCATTAGTCATTAAAGTAATGCAAATTAATCCCAAAACTTGATGTCATTTCATATGCAGAAGGCTACTTTAAAAAAAGAACTGCAAAGGAAGTTATGGGGAAATAGTCTGTACATTGCTGGAGGGAACATAAAATGGGAGACAGAGTCCAGAATGATTCAGCCGGCCGTCCCACTTCAAGCTATATGTCCAAAGAACTGAAAGGAGAGACTGGAACAGACACAAGCAAACAAATCTTCCTAGTTGCATTCTTCATGGAGGCTGAAAAGTGGAGATAACCCACAGGTGTCTCTACATACAGGGTATGAGACATGTGATAGACAGACGGTGCACATACAAACAGTCCCGCTGTGAAAGGGAATGAAGTTCTGCTACATGGGACAGCATGGGTGAGCCTTGAGGACACTGCTGTGACAAACAGACCAAAGGGACAAGTACTAGATAATTCCATTTACTTGAGGAACTTAGAATAGGCAAATTCAGAAAACTAGAAGTAGATTTTAAGTCACCAGAAGTTAGAGGGAGGAAGAATGGAATTATTACTGAATAATTAGAGTCTTGGAGGTAATAAAAAGCTTTTGGAAATAGACTGGCGGGTGCAGCGCCATTTTTTTTAGTTAAATTAATTAAATGTAATTAATGATACTGAAGTTTGCACTTAAAATAGTGGAAAGAGAAACTTTTGAATTATATGTTCTCTTTTGTTTAATTAATTTTTTAAGATTTCATCGTATAGCTCAGGCTAGCCTCAAACTCAAAATTTTTCCCCTCATCTCTCAATTCTTGGATTAAGGCCTGCGCCATCACACCAGTTCTGTAGTACATACATATACACAATATGTATACATGTTTATATATTATATATCAATATTCTATTACAATTTAAAAAATTGTCATGTACAGCCTTATGAGCTTTGTATATTTAGTATATTATATTTATATTGCAATAAAGTTGTTTTGTTTTGTTTTGCTTTACTGCAAAGGCAAATTTCCTAGTTACCTAAAATGGACAAAATGCTGGTCTGGGCATTGTTGCAGCTGACTAGTCCTATAAAGACTCTATGAGGCTTTGCTTGAGGTACTGCCAGGAAGGGACTTCGCAGATGACATGTTCACCCTACACACACACACACACACACACACACACACACACACACCACTCTCTCTCTCTTGAGACAGGGTTTTCTGTGTAGCCTTGGCTGTTCTAGAACTTACTTTGTAGACCAGGCTGGCCTTTCTTCTGCCTCCCAAGTGCTGAGATTAAAAGCATGTACAAGCTTTATTATTATTATATTTATTTATTTTTAATTTATGTGCATTGGTGTTTTGCCTGCATATATGTGAAGGTGCCAGATCCCATGGACTCAAAGCTACAGACAGCTGTGGGGTACCATGTGTGTACAGGGAATTGAACCAGGGTCCTCTGGAAGAACAGCTAGTGCTCCTAAATGCTGAGTCACCTCTCAAACCCCAACAGCTCGGCTCTCCCCGACCCCTGACCCCCATGGCCATCTTATTTTTTAAAACGTGGATTCTGGGGATTGAACTCTGGTCCTCTTGTTTTGTTTTGTGTTGGGGATGTAAGCTTGACTAGTATGTGTGGAGGAGCCTTGGGTTTGATACTTAGCTCTTAGCTCTGAATAAAACCAAGAGTAGTTCGTGCCTGTAATCCAAGCATTTAGGAGGCGGAGGCAGAAGGATCAGAAGTTCAAGACCATTCTTGGCTACACAGTGAGATCAAGGTCAGCTTGGGCTATGTGCCATCTGGGTGCTGGGTTTCGTGCATGCTTGGTAACTACCAATTGAGCTACAACCCCATCCCTGCGACCATTCTTTTTTAGAGGCTACTTGAACAAACCCATTTGATGTTCTGAAGGGGAGGTTAGGATCCTTTAGTAGCAAAACTATCTCTGTTCATTTCCTCTTTCACCAGGGTGTGGAGCTCAAAGGCTACAGCCCAAATCTTAGGGGTTCTTAGCAAGAAAGCAGGACGCCTACAAAGTGGTCCTTGTTAAAATGGCACAGAAGTTAAGATCTGGAAGTGCCAGGAAGAGAACTCTGAAAATGGCTTGTTGAATGCTTGGCTCTCAGCGGGGCATCCATAGAGGGCACTCAGCCTGTTTTCAGCCTAGCCTCTCAGTTTAAATCTTGCTGGTTTGCCAAGGCAGTTCCAAATATGACCACAAGAGGTCAGAGCCGCTCAATGCACGAAGCATCACCAGATGACCTTAACTCATGCTGGTCACCTCCCAAAGGCCTGACCTGTAAAACATCACAGTGGAGTTATTCTGAAACTGCTCCATGCCTCACAGTGGGGGTTAAACTCTGGAAGAGGTTTAAAAGGGATAAACTACGTTCAAAAGAGGCCACGCCCGTGGAAACTCACCTTTACAGTGAACAAGAATTTGAACGAAGCTTGCTAGAAATAACATGGCTTGGTCCATACTAGTACAAGACCTTCAGAGACTAGCACTAGAAACACACATTAGCATCTTATAAATACAACATGTTCTTCAAAGTAGTGAAACTGGGTCAACAAAGTCAGAAAGAAAAATAGGTTATAGTCTCAAGTGTCGCTTGAGAGCATGCTCAGGTGTCACCACTTGTGTACTAGGAGTTGAACCTGAGTCCTTGCGCATGCTCAGCAAGCACTCTACTACTGAGCTACATTCCTAGCCCAGACTCTTGGTGTTCTTAGTATTAGGTAGACCATCATTTGATGGTGAGGCAGTGCAGAGGGGCTTTTGTGACGATTCTTCACCTCTTAGAAACCTCTAACCTTTTGGCTACTTTAGCTGAACAAGATGAAGATTTTTTTTTTTTTTTTTTGTCTTTTGTTGGGAACAACTGGTCCCTTCTGTCTGTTTCCTCCTTTGTGATCAATATGATAGTAGCCCCCAGCTGGAGGACAGTCTTGGGGGCAAGGCACTGCATCGAGGACACAAGAGGATCCCCCCCCCCAT